GAGCACCCCCACGATGGCCCCGCCCCCACATAGACCCCTGAGAGCAACCCCACGATGGCCCAGCCCCCATGCAGACCCCTGAGAGCACCCCCATGATGGCCCACTCCCCACCCAGACCCCTGAGAGCACCCCCACGATGGCCCGCCCCCCGCGCAGACCCCTGGGAGCACCCCCACGATGGCCTGTCCATTGAGGCCTCATTTTTTCTGAGAGATCAGGGGCACTTTACCTGGAAGGGCCTGGGCTGTGTTTGAAGGGTGTGGAGCGGGGCTTGCGTGCCTGATGTGTGGAAGGTGCCCGGGCAGGGACAAGGGGGTCAGCATGGCTGAGAATGGCAGTCGTGCTGCCCAGGCTTTGTGCAGCCGAGGGGTCTCCAGGAGAGAAGCCCGTGTCCTAGGTTGGGCCACACGTTGCGGGTCAGGTTCAGAGAGAGGGTGATGTCTGGACCGTTCTTGGTGAAAACGAGACAGGCCGCTCTGTGTCCCTTGGTGATTCTCGGCACCTTCGCTGGTTTGTGAGCTTTGAAGCCATGACCAAGGCCAGGTCCCAGTGGCAGAATCATATTGGGTGCGTCCTTGGGCTGAGTAGGTTGAATGAATGCTTAAAATTGGTACCAAGATGTGGGGAACTTGAACGTGAGTCCGTTGGCTTTCATTTCACGTAAATTTGTGCAGTGGGGTCTTTGCTACCTTTTTTGTAAGGGAAAGTACAGTACCTGTCAGTAGGCTTTTAGAAGTAGACACCTTTGCTTTTTACGGACCCCTGGGTGGACTCTGGGGCCTGGGGTTCGGCCGGTCTGTGGGGATCCCGAGCGGTGTCTGCGGAGGTAGCGCTGAGTAAAGAGCACCTTTGCATCGGAAGTGGGATCGAATTCCAAAGATCCTGTTCTTTAAACAGACAGCTCATTACTGCAAATCTGTGAAAATATCCTAAAATTGCTGAGCATATTGCAGACTTGAGAAAAGTCTCCAGAAACGTAAATTGTATACAAGTCCAGTCAAAGAGTATAAAGAATACTTGAGTTCACTGCCTCAAAGTAGCTTTGAAGCCAAAAACACTCGGTGCCTCTCACGAATGACCGAATACCGCGTTTTCGTGACGCCGGCATCACCCTGCTGCTGTCCGCCCGTGACCGAGGTCCTGACGGGCTGGTCCCCCGGCTCCCCAGCCCCCCGGAGCGCGCCTTCTTGGACTTGTGACGAGCGCCAGCAGGAGGCCGGGGAGGCCCTGGAAGTCGCCCCCAGCTGGGGCACAGCACTGCCCCGGAGCCCACACGAGCCCCCGCCGTGGCCGCCCAGCCTCGCTTGCTGCTCCTTCTGAGCCTGGTGCTCAGAGTTGTCACCAAAGCCTCGGGGAGGGCGGAGGAGGAGGGAGGGGTCCCTGGAGCCGGTGCTTGGGATCGGGGGGCCGTTCTGGGCAGGGTCTGCTCCCTCCTGCCTGCTGGCCACCGTCCCGCTCCCACGGCCCCGTGGATTCCTAGGGGCCGTCCCGTTAGAAGGGGCGGGGACTGTCCTGCCGGCCTCGCAGCTGGGGTGCACGTGAGCCTCGTGCGCCGGGTGTGGGGTTAGGCCTGGGGTCTGGGACCAAGCAAGCGTCTGTCCGAGGCTCGCACGCTCGCCGTACCACGGCACTCACCGCGCCCACCCAGGTCACGTTTCCGCTTCCCACGGCGCCGGACACGTCAGCCAGCCCTCCGTCCTCGTGGCTGCCGTGACCAGGAGTGGGGGCTGTTGTAGGCGGCACACAGAGGTCAGTGTCCACTGTCACCAAGCACTGCTGTGTCCCAGGCCCGCGGCCTCCCCTCGTGGAGGGCGCCGTTGCCCGTGGCCGCAGCGGGGCCTCCCGTCCGCTCGGGTGTGTTCCCGGCAGGTGTGGGTGCTGCCGTCCCCTCGCTGGGTGCCTTTCCAGGCCTGCAGGGTCACCCGCCCCTCACAGACCGCGAGCGCCGGTCCCCGGCTGAGGCGCGGGCACGGGGGGCCGTGCTGGCGGGCAGCGGCCGGAGGCAGCCCAGCACCGCTGCGCAGCTCCTCGGCCAGCACGTGGCTTGGTTTCCCGGCTGAGTTTCGCGCTGCCCAGCTGTGCTGTGACTGGCCGTGTGGAAGTCTTTGCCCACATCCCTGCCTCATCCGCCCTCACCGCGAGCCCAGGCGCCCCGACTCTCCCTTTTTCCAAGGCTGGATGCTGACGTTCGGTGGGGCTCGCCCAGGGCCCTTCAGGAGAGCCTGCAGGGGGGCAGCTCCCCCATCCTCTCCCTGGAGCCCCCAGCCCTCAGTGACTGCCGTGGCGTGGCCCCGTGATCCTCAGAGTCCCTGGCCCTTGACGGGATCCCTTGTCTGTCCTCATGTGGCTCCAAGGCGCCTTTCTCCTGGGGGGCACAGCTTCTTCCTCCTTCCTCGGCCTGGCCCTGCCCTGCGCCCTCAATGAGCCCACACAGGAGAACAATGGGGCCCACATCGTGCACAGCCTGCCATTCATAGGGACGAGAATGGGGCAAGCGTGTTCCATGGCCCGAGGGAGGCTCACCGCGGGGCCTTGTCCCGCTGCTGAAGGGAGCCTTGTGGTGCCCGTGGCTGGTCCCTGCGGCCCCTCCCAGACTGCCCTGGAGACCCCGCGATGTCAGGACGGATGCCCCCCAGCACAGACCTCCATGAGCATGGGGCGGCCGGGCCAGACCAGGTCCTGAGCACCGTCCTCCTGTGGGCAGCGTGGGTCAGGCACCGGCCGGCGAGTGCGGCCCCGGGAGAGGTGAGGCCGGCTGGGCGGGCGATGGGGGTTTGGCTTATTGCCAGAGGTCGTGTTTGTTCTTCGTTCCTTTTGTACAGATGGTACAATGTGTTTTTTTCCTACTAGAAGAATCAAGAGTGTGTACAAACCACCGGGCACAAGAACACATACACATCGGGTTTGATCTTGTTCTGAGTGCTCGCCGTGTGCGATCGCGTTCAGGCCGCTGAAGCAGCAGGGTGACATGCTGGCTGACCAGGGCCCTGCGGTGCATCCTGGCATCTCTCATCATTCCTGCACACGGCCCTCGTGTTCCTGGTTCTCATGGCTCAGCTGAGTGGGAGTGAGCTGAGGAAGCAGGTGGGCATCCCTTCTCGAGGACCAGAGGAGTCTGTCTGTCCAGCTGGCCTGGGCGTGCTCCTGGGTCCTTCTCCTGGGCGGCTGGTTCAGGTCCCTGTGGACATGTCACAGCAGATGTGTCTCCAGGTCTCGTGGGCTCTGCAGGGAAGCCAGTGAGGGCCTTGGGCACCGAGGGAGGTGGCCGGGGGCAGGGACACCCAGGCCTGGCTGTGCAGGGATGGCGGTGGGGAGGGCTGGTGTGGGTGGGGTCTGTAGGACAGGCTCCGGGCCCTGACGGCTCTGCACACGGGAGCGGGTGTGGATGCCGTCCAGGGTCTCGGCTGAATGGTAGTTGGCACAGCGAGGGGGTACTCCAGGCGCCCTGGCCAGTTTGGCCCAGGAAAGTGGCCAGTGCCGCCCCTAGGGGGGTGGGAGAGGGCCCAAAACAGCAGGGACCCCGCAGTGCCTGCATGAAGAGGCTGCTGGTGTTTCGGGGCTACATAAAAAGACCCCGTGGGGGGAGAGCCCCAAGGCTGGGAACTGTGAGGGCTTGTTGAGAGCCTGGAATTCATAGGCCTGGCTCTCAACAGGGGTGCTTGTAAGCCTTCCAAAATCAGGGTAGAATTTGCATCTGAATGACCCATCATGCCAAAGCCGGCCAAGGAATGTGTTGGTTTTCTTGTTATTTTGCACTTCTTGTTAACCATCATTTATATTTTTATTCTACCCCCAGCCATTCTTAAAACTAATATTACCTGGCGGTTGCCTCACTCCTGATTTCCCAGTGTGCACTTCTGCATGGGAACCTCCCCCATGCCCCTCCCCCCCCCGTGGAAGGGGTGCAGCAGTGCCCCTCCCCCTATGGCGCCCCCATCCTGTAGGGTACCCACGTGGGCTCAGAGCTCTCAGAAGGCAGACAGGTTTGGTTTGGACTTCCCAGAATTAACAGTTACATATGAATTACTTCTCAGCTTCAAGAAAATGGGAGAATTAAACCTAAAAAACTCATTTTTTTTCTGGAAAAGGAATGCAGGAGTTGTGCTTCTACTGGGCCACATTACCAAATAGCCATGGGGGTCTGCAAGAGACAGAATAATGAAGGGCCCCTGTGGACATCCGTGTCCTGATCCCTGGAACCTGCAGATGCAGTTGACCCTCGAACAGTATGGAGGCGGGGCACTGACCCTGCACCTCCGAAAATCCGTGTAGAACTTTTGTCGCCCCCAGAAGCTTAACTACTCAGCCTGCTGTACCAGAATCCTCACCTGTACCAACAGTCAGTTAACACACGTTTTGTATGTTGTATGTGTTATATGCTGTATAAGGTATTCTTAGAATAAAGTCAGCCAGAGAGGAGAAAATGTCATTAAGGAAATCATGGGGAAGAGAAAGTCCATTTACAGTATGTCCTGTGCTTATCGAAAAAATCTGTATATAAGTGGACCCATGTCGTTCAAACCAGTGTGGTCGAAGGGTCAACTGCTATGTTACTGTACGTGGTAAAGGGACTTCACAGGTGTGATTAAGGATCTTGAGATAGGGAGATCATCCTGGATTCTCTAAGTAGGCCCTATATGTAATCACAGGGTGCCTGATGAGAGAGAGTCAGGAGGGCAGAGAGGAGAGAAGATGCTATGCTGCTGGTTTAGGGAAGGAAAAACTTTTCCTCTACTCTCTTAGGTTCTTTCAGTGGGGCCTGTGAATTAAACAGACAAATGAGAGATTAACAGAAAAAAAGGCACACAAATTTTAATATAGTCACATGCACAGGAGCTCTGCAGAAAAGAAAAACCCAAAAAAACCGTTAGCCTTGGGGCTTATATGTTGTTTAAACCAAGAGCAATAAGTTGCGAGGCAATAAGAGGAAGGAAAGGTGGTTTGGGCTCGTAGGGGCAGTGCATTGTGGGAAGGTGAGTAGGAAGCTGTGGTGAGTAAAGGATGGTTAGCAAGGTTTGTCATGCAGACTCATCTCGGCACCTTCTCAAGGACGCTTGTACAGAAGGAAGTCTGTGTCCTGCTTTTGGGCACGTGGGGAGGGCAGAGAGTTCTTCGTGGACCTGCCGTTTCTCAGTTGTCTTCTGTTCAAGGTAGTCCTTATGCCAGAGCAGTCTGTGTGGGGGGCAGTCTCTGTGGGGGTGGCGTGTTCCGATCCTCTTCGCTGGCTTTGAAGCCGCAGGAAGGGACATGAGCCCGGGGAATGCAGGAGGCTTCTGGAAGCTGGAAAGGCAAAGAAGTGGATTCTCACTGGAGCCTCCCGAAGGAAGCGGCCGATGCTCGGGTGTGAGCCCCACGCCAGGCTTGTGAACCCCAGAGCCATGAGATAGCACATTAATGTTGTCTGAGGCCGCTGAGCTTCTGGTGATTTTGTACAGCAGCACAGGGAAGCGGGCTCAGGTCCCTTAGGATGTGGTCTGCGCCCAGAGGACCTTCGCTACCACTGTAGGGACAAGGAGCGTGTCTGCACAGCAGGGAAGATGTGACATCCAGCAGCATACAAACCGGTGGCGCTCAGACTGTGAGGATCCTTGGGCGGGCGACGTGCGTGCCCCCGGGACGCTGCTCGTTCCTGCCGCTGGTCTGGGACAGAGCTTCGCACAGCTCCCTGCAGACCACGGGCACGGTCGGCATGCAGAGCAGGGAGCGGGTCTAGAGGGGCTGGCAGAGAACACGCAGGACTAAACAGCGGGAGAAGGACGGTGTGTGTCTTGGGACACAGAGGGTGGGAGCAGGATGTGTGGGGGGCTCTGCCCTGGCTCAGCCACGCTAAGAGGGAGCCCCCGCTTGGGGTGGGAGGGCCGCCATGGCTCGGCCTCTGCCCTGCCGGCACCCCCCTCCTGCCCTGGGGACCTGGCAAGCCCTGGGCATGGGGCATCCGTGCTTTCACGGCCGGGCAGGCAGCCACAGGCCCCGGCGTGCACACGCGGAGGACGGTCGGGGCGTGGGAGAGCGCTTTCCCCAGGGCCCAGCCCAGGGAGCGGGCAGGGCCCGGTGGTGGGTCTGGGCAGAGGCGGCCTCCACTCCTCTGTGCTCGTGAGGGCAGCCGCGGGTTCCAGGTGCGAGACCCCGCACCAGCCCTGGGCGCCACGCTGCTCCCGCGTAGCCGCTGGTTGGATCGTGGCCTGTCGCGAGCTCCTGTGGCCTCGCCCTGACAGTTTAGCTCAGACGTTGGCCGGCTCGTGCTGACCTCTCCGCTCAGCCAGCGGCCCCAGTCGGACCTCAGATGTGCCCTCCTCCCTCGCCATGGTTCGCGACTTTGGGTGCCTGTTTTGCAGTGTCCGTGTGTCTGGGGGCGGGGCCGCAGGCTGCACCGCCACACGTTGGCTTGGCGTCAGCGAGGCCGGCAGATTTATTTCCTTGCGTTGCCCTGGCCTGTTGGGTCACTCCCTGAAAGTCATGTCTGAGCGCTCGGCCAGCACGCGGCCCCGACGCTCTCCGACGGCCTGTCTGCGGGAGGCGGCCCCGCCCTCTGTGGACTCCGTTCCGGGGGGAGACATCGTGCTCCCGCTGTGTGTTTGGGGGAGCTGACGTCACGTGGGAACGAGAAGCCTCACACTTCGCACCAGTCACTGTTGATGTCCCCGCGCGCGTGCCTTCCGGGGGGAGCCCGCGTCAGAGGCCTGTCCCCGACTCCACGTGGAGGGAAACGCGCTCTTCCAGCAGGGAACCGCTGTGCGGGCGTGTGTCCTCCGTCCCTGTAACCTGCAGAAGTCCTGTGTGACTCGGCTGTCCCCTGCTCTTACCCTGGTCTCTCGGCGGTTCTCCAGCAGCTCCCGCGCGTCTCAGCACACACGTGCTAGGTACACACGCCCCCACACAGCCTCCATGCACGCACACCACGCACGTGTGCTGCGGTTGACCCCAGGGCTCTTCTGGACGTCAGCCTGGAGTGTGTGGCTGGGAATCTTGGTGGGAAGAGTGGGTCTTAGTCCAGAAGGTGGCCAGCACCCGCCTGACGTCCTGGCTTCCTGAAGCTTCCTGGAGCCTGGCTCCCACCGGGACCGAGACCCCTGACCCGCCCTCTACTCGGCGTCTTCAGTGGCTGGTGAGGGTGCTGGGGGCAGCCACAGGGCAGGAACCAGGTGGACGTGGCTGACCGTGACTGACCAAGCGGGCGGCCAGAGCTGACTTCTCAGACATATTGTGTTCTCCAGCCAAGCTCTGCCCGTCTTGAAACTCAAAAGGCTGGAGACAGGTATCCGCTCTGTGCCCACAAAATGCAGGTGTGTTCTCCACCTGCAGAGGGGCCCTCATGGGGCCCGCCCTGGTGGGAGGGCAGGGTCATAGGGACAGAAGGTTCTAGAAGGGAGCAGACCTTGGGACACTTGCAGCTGCTGCTGGACCCTGCCCCTTACTCTGTGTGCGGGGGACCTGTGTGACCTTCCCACCACTCCTGTGTCTCGTTGACACAAGCCATGGAAAGGCTGAGGGTCGAGAACCCCCAAGAGCTGGTGTGTTCTCATGAGTGGCAGCTCTGAGTGACCGCCTTGTCGACTCCCCGTGCCCCCTGGGTGCTGGGCTCAGGTCAAGCAGCCGGGTCACCTTGGAGCGCTCGGCAGGTGCCTCGGAGGCAGGTTGATGGAATGGCCCTTCCCTACAAGGAGGGAAATGGTGCTCAGTTGTGTGGATATATGGCATTTTCTTTATCCATTCCTCCCTGAGTGGACACTTGGGATTGTAGGTGGGGAGAGAGAATCTCCCGTCTTTCCTTCTGGGTCCTGTGGCCTGTCTGGTAATTAAACTAACATAAGATATTAACAAGAGAAAAGCGAATTTAATTTTGTACACATGGGAGCTCCAAATATATAAGACTCTAAGAAGTGACCGAAGCAGGCAGTTTTCCTGCGTGCTAGACAAAGAAACAATCCATTTGTGAAGAATGGGTAAAACAAAGGGGTTTGGGCTTGGGGTGGCAAGTCAGGGAGAAGTAGCGAGTCTCTGCTTGCTCAGCCCTCCGGGCCCCGTTCCCTGCCTCTGGCCCTGAGGCTGCCTTCCGCTCCCGGGGTAGGGAGGGCATCCTTCCC